TAAAATATAAAATCAATCACAGGTTTCTAACTGTAGTAAGAGGGAGGTACCTTTAGTACTCCTAATTTGCTATAACGTTTTTTGATTTGATAAATTCAATGGAGTTTCTAATAGGTACCACAGAATAAGGGTATATGTATCCAAATATTAATAAGCTAGCATGGAATTTTTGGTCAGGTTGGGTTAGATTATTTTTTTCATTTCAATTTTTTGCATGTGCCTGTTATTGAACACTTATGATTATCATATTTGTTTATGTAGTATTCATTTAAAAAATGATTAATTGAACACAATTGGTTTTGGATACAAATTCTTACCTATATGTTATATATCTAAATTATCATGTACCAGTGGGTATCAAATTTAAATTTTATAGAAAAAGAGACCCAAGTTTTTACAAACTGTACACTCACACAACTCACATAAAAATATAGGAAAATACCTATCTCAAATCTACTATGAATTAGTAAGTTTATAAATTAATGTTCTCCTTACATATTTAATCATTATTGGATGCATTTTTAACATAATCTTAGTAAAATGTTTTTAAATTTTAAATTTTGATAAATTGTTACTTATATGTAATTCATAGTCAGATAATATTAATAAACACACAGTTACAAGTTTTATTATTATTATTGTTAAAAATTTTCAATACAAAACATTTAGTAACATTTATTTTTATATCTAAATTGATCAAAAAACTTTTCACTTTCAAAGTTGAAAAACCCAACATGTTATATTGATAATGATTTTAAGAGTTTGCATAATTTAAATAGTTTTGATTTTCTATTATTTAAGAAGTGGTATTATCTGTAAAATAAAAACAACAATTCTACACATTTAAAATTAAATAAGTTGTTTTATACAACAATAGTAAACGGTTTGAGAAGAGTTACATGTGTGATGTAAATGTGGAACACGGTATTTTACTGTACAATAGCCACCATTACTAATGCAATAGTAAAACAATGAGTTTAATGTGTCCAAAACAAAGACTTAAATACTATACCTAAAAAAAAAAACTATTACCCAAATTTGCCCATTTTTTGACATATATGAGATAATGGGTCTACATCATTTTATAATAATCTCTATACAAATTTTTAAAATTATACAGTCATAATGTCAAATCTTGCATTTAAATAAAAACTATTCGTAAATTTTATAAACCAATCTTAATGATTTCACAAAATATTGCTAATCATGTCTCATTGAGAAATTTGTAAAAAAGATAATTAATAATTTCTAATAAAATGCTTTTTTTTTTTTTTTTTTTTGGTAATATTATTGTTAAGTACATACAATAAGATTCACGAATTAAAAATATTTTTTGTGTGATAAATATTAGTCATAATGTTTAAGATAATGAAATAATCTATTAAACAAAAATTAAATATTTATATTTACTACCTATTCGATTACTTATTATTTTTGTTTCTGTTGTTTGCATAATATAACATATTTAATTATTATACTTAAGCATCCAACTAAGTTGTGTAAACATAACTATTCTAATGTTAAACTTTGTTAACAATATTAATAATTATAAGCATTTATGTGTTACCAAAGAAAACAAAACTGTATTTATATTTTATATAGGTATATATATCAATAATTAATTTATCAAAAATTATACATTAAAGATTAAAAATTCAACATATACATTTTATAAATATTTAAATTTACTATAATTTGTTAGGGGGGTTCATCATTTTATGCAGTAGTTACGTTGTTAAATATATACCTAAGCATGTTTGTTTATAATTAAGGCTAATTTTTATATGTAATAAAAAATGCAAAAAATATGATACATTTTGGTACTACTACATACTAAAAATTAATTTTTTCCATCAATTTTAAGAACTGTATTAAGAAAGTTACTATTTACTATTACTTTAATAATATACTATCAACATTTTCCACTAATATTTTGTGTTTTTGCATTTTTAAGGACATAAGTTAAAATCAATTTGATTATCATGTAAGTATGAAATGCCTTCACTAATATATAACTAATGACGGTTCTGTTAAAACACATACTACTTTTGCTGATTAGGTTAGATTAGATACTTACTGTAATTGAAAAATCTTAAATATCATTACTGTCATAATTTGTACAAGTATAATATGAAGATTACGTTAAGATATAGATTACATTTCTAGATATTCTTACTTCATAATATATTTACCTAGGTAGGCATTTTTTGAATAGGTAATATTTTATTTTCTTCTATCACTACTTAAAATATACCACACACCATGTATATTAAGCGTTAATTATTGAAATAATGATTTTGCATTAAAATGCCAAAATATGCATAGTAAAACGACCACTATTTGCTTCAACACGACTCTGATTCTGGATATTAAAACAAAAGTAATTATAAGTAAAAAAAAAAAAATAAAATAAAAATTATGCTGATGCAAATAAATCATAGCCCTTCTTATAAACAACACAACTTTAAGACATATTATGTACAAACCTTACAATTAAAAAAAAAATATGACATAATTTAGGTATACTATATACCTACATTTCATTGTTTTATGTGATAGGTCATAAGTTTAACATAATTAATTTTGATATAATAGTGTCTAGAGTAATATAATTTTTTTACTTACTATACTATAAATCATATATTGTGTGTTCAAATGTAAAATGATTTTAGTGTAAAGCTTCAGTCAATCAATTTAATCCTATGATATCTCCAAATATATGATTCAATATTTTTTTTTATATGAATAATAGGTATTGGGTATGTATGAATTGGCTGTTGTTTAGCAAACAATTTTTTGTTAACATGTATTATATCTATGTTTTTATACAATTAATCTTTGATATATTTTATATTACCTATTTATTAATATTAATATTACAAAATAAAATAGTAAATTAGGTGGTTTAGAATCTAAACCAGTGTTTATTGTCTATAGTTAAGACAATAATCAGTGTTAAATTTACCTACCTAATATAACTCTGTGACTAGCTGGTTCCAAAAAGTCGTTCAAAATGTTTGCATTCTTCTTATTTTCACATTTTTGGTTTTCTTTGTTATCACATTTTATTCAATTAAAATTATTTTATTTTGTTTTTGAATTTATTAATATCTCATAATTATACATAGAATAAATATATTTTTTATACTCTGAAGTAGTCGGGTTAGGCAGATACACCGTATACTACATAATTTATTTACAGGCCAACAAATTAAATTGCAGACATTTCTAACTTTTTCTTTGTTTATTTTCATTTTTTTGTAATACATTTAATTAATTTAATGATAAGGTTAAAAAATACCTTTTATTAGATGATCCAACAATTCTAATTATCAAGGTAAACTATCACATGTATTGTTTCATCTTGTATACTTATTATAAATATATAACAATTAACAACTAATGGTATTGCTATGAATCAATATTAAAATTTAAAAAAAAATACTAAGATTTTGATAATTATAGGTTAGCTGGTATGCTTTTATTGTATCTTTAATGTATTTGTATTTTATAAAATAGCTACATATTTATTGTAATAATAGTTGTTTTATAGCATTTTGAGCTTTTGAACAAATATAGAAATTCAACACAAAAATAAGAATTCACAACACTTGAAAAACACCTGATATAAGTTAAAACACTACAAAATTCAATTTTGAAATACATCTTGTATAAATAAAATAATATTGAAGAAGTTTTTTTGCTACATTGAAGCTTCGTCATGTCATTGAGTAGATTATTGGCATGTATGTATTTGAATTTAATGATAAATCATTGCACGCAAATAAAATTTTGGAGACTAACTGTCTATATTTTTTAAGATGTTTCATTAGTAATTGTTGAGTTAATTCTTACGAACAACATATTGCATACATTAAACAACAATTATGTGATGCACATAAATAATAAAAAAAATAATATAATAATATTATTATGTATAATATTTCTATAGCTGACAAATCACCAATACTTATAAGAATAAATATAAACATGATATATTAGTGAAAAATAATCAATTGTCTTTAGTTTAATTCTATGTATTCTTTAATTAACTGAAAACATATTTGTAATAATAAAAGGAACTTATGATCTACAGCCTTATATTTTATTTTATTTTACAATTCAAATTATTAATAATAAAAATACAATTTTTAATTAATATTCTTTATCAACAGAACTTGTAAGTTAATGCATTCGCATGTTTTTTCTGTTACATTGAAAAACATGCTTAGTGAGATATAAGTATATATGCTAATGTATGTATTATCATGACCATGACACGATTGAAACGTGTCAGGGAGTTTGACATATTATTAATGGTCATGACAGATTATCTACAGGTAGTAGATACATATTATTATGAATCTTGTTACATTAGGATTAGAATGCATTTTCGGGTGTAGTTATTTACTTTTCAATAACATATTTTCGCATAACAATTAGAATGTAATATTGTAATGTATTATTGAATACGGATACTCTTTCACAATGACAAGTAAAAGGATACCTGCGGTGCTTCGAATTGTCATAACAAGGAATCAAAATCATATATAAGGAAGTCCAGAGAGCCACAACGGCAGATGTACCAGAGCCACAGAGATCTGAGCATCTTCATGACACTCAGCCACTTTTTGTATCATTTAAATGAACTTATTTATACGTAATAAACACATTGTTCTCAAAAGTTGTAATTTTCATTTAAAATAACATCCTGAACTTGAATCTGATATTGGCACGCAACACAATAGTAATAGAATTATAAAAATATATATATATGCATACTTTAATACATATTTTCAAAATTTTGGTACATTATTGCATGCTTATTTATACATTTTTTAGTGCATTAACTTACAAGCCCTGCTTCTTCTTAATTAATTATAGAAAATAACATCATTGTTACAAAATTATATTTTTGGAGATGTATTTTTTTTTCTTTACTTTTAATTTAAATATAATATATATATATATATATACACACATTTTAATTAGATATGCATCTAAGAATTAGTATTTTTATATTTTATTGGTAGTAACATTTTTACTACAGAGCAGGACACATAAATACCAGACAAAATATTCTGACATTTGATGTCCATCAAGGAATGATGTAGATTCAAGAAACTTTCATCACCCTGGGTGTTATACAGAATTGAAGCCTTAAAATTAATATTTAATGATTGTTTTGTTAGAGAATTGTGTAGAAAAAATATTAGATTAGGTATATTAATAAAATTACATACTTTAGTCCACTCAGTTGCTCTTTGTGGACTCTCATCGGAATGTTCACATTTACCTATAACTTCATTTGTTTTACTGTGAAAAGTGGCATGTAACTTATAAGCGTTGTTGTTTTCACAATATGTTTTATAAAACCTGCAAAGCATTTTATTTTATTATTTTAGATGAGAAAAATATTTTAAGTATATGAGTATCAATACCATGCACTAAATGAAATTTTAGGTCTAAGAATTTTCATTATAATATCATTTAAACCATAATCTTTGAATGTAATTTGTTGATAAAGTGTACTTATATACTGATAATCTATAATAAAACAACTTGTATGCCCATCAAAGTCTGGATCATTTAATATATGTTCATTTTTTGGTACTTCTACAATATTTGACAAATTAGTCACATCAGGTTCATTATTCAAAGCTGATGACAGATTTTTATGATATCTCCAATGCTTCCATCTTTCTGTGTTAAATGTAAAAATCATGATAACATTGTATGAATTATTTTAAATTCTAATTAGAAATAGGTTTAGATCTGATTTACAATTTATTTATTAATTACCTTGTCCACAGTGGTTTTTCGTCAAATTTCTATTGAATGGATCGTATTTGATAATTACATAAAACACATACCACGGTAATTCTAATTTTTTAACATCATTTGAAGCGATTTGTGAAAAACTATGGTATCCTCGACCATTATTCACGTACTTGTTTTCTCGTGCTGCTTTTTCTTGAAATACATATGCGTCTATTAGTTCTTGCCATCTTTTACACACAAGTCTGCAATTTAAAAGTGTAGCTGCATCGATGAAGATAAATGTTTTTATAATCATTTCATTTGGTATTAAATCAAAATATTGTTGATGATTATTTAATACTTCCATCGTTATAAATTTGATGATCTATAACAATATAATGCTGACGATGCTGATATCAAACTCAAATAATTTTTAATTTATTCCAACGAAAAAGTATAAAAGATACGAGGTATTAAATAACAAATATTAAACAATATCAAACGCTCGTTGACTGCAATACCGCAAAATTGAATAATGGAGTTGTCGTAATCATAGACATATCAAACAACTAACTTAAAACCCGAATGTGATAACCAGAATTTTGTCTAAAAAGAAATGATAGTATTCTTAGTTATGTCATGGAGTATATAATAATTTCACTTACCACGAGGCGATATCTGTCATACAACCAATGTCCTTCAATACTAATGCGCCAGGTGGTGATTTTTTCTCAAACCAGGGGTCCCCACACTCCACAGTTAAGGTTAGGAAAAAAGAGCATGTTTGTTTTAAACATGATCAGCAGCAGTTTTGCATTTTGTATACCCATTGTAACGTGGTCGGGGAACTTTGTTACGATATTAGTTATCTAGAGAAGATTTTCGATTTCTTATGGTTGAGTTTTCTGTAGCTGGGAGTTAGAGCACCATTTTATTTGAAGTATTTATGGGAGTAATTAGGATTTTAATCAGGGGGGAGGGTAGTTGATGACCATTTTTTTTTCTTTTTCGATTTTATAGTAAAACTTATACGTTTGGTATAAGGAATAGAATTTAGTTTAAAGCGCAGAGGGGGGGGGGGGACTTGCCCATGGAAGTATCTGTCAATTATAAGACACGTTTGGCTTATATAGATATCTATAATAATTATTATACTTAAAACAATACGTTATTATACGCTATTCCAAATAAGTCTGGAAAAATGTACGACGACAACGCGTCTGATTTCGCGCACGTATGTCACGCGATCTGTCGGTGGCGAGCGCTGTTGTCGATAATTGTATTGTATACTATTGTATTGTATCCGGCCGCCGACCGATCTCGACGAGTGCCGATAATTGAGCCAATGACAGCGGATCTGCCTGCACGATTTTTTCCAGACTTATTTGGAATAGAGTATATATTCGGGATATGGCTGTTAATAATTGTATTGTTGAGTTCGCTTGTGTTGATGGTTAATATCGAACTAACTGCTGTGTGTTATTTTAGTTTATTCGTAATAATCCGGACGCGTAAAAAGTGTTTAGTATGTATATTTTGTGTTAATCAATCATATTGGTGTGTTTATTGTGTAATATATTTATGGTATGTAACAAATGTTACACCATAACGAAAAATCGACACCTGGCGTGTTAGTATCGAGGGACATTCCTTGGGAAATGCACTATAAATATTAACAGCTGTTGGTTCATTATTTAAAAACAAATAATTCAACTCGTTATTTTATCATTTTTACTCAAACACCCTAGTTAATAAAGAAATGGATCGACAATATCAGTGTTCCAAGTTGTTAGAATTTGGATCTGAAATTACTTTTTACCAGTGGCGTCTCGTGATTCGAATGTATGGTAGAAAAAATGCTGTAAAAATATAAAAATTAGTTTCAAGTTAACTTTCAAAATAATTCAATTAATATTTAATTCTAACCTTTAACAACATATAAATAATTAACCATGAATAAAGCATATATTTTTTTTGTATTAAATGTTAAAATAAAGTCAACTATAAAAAAATAAAAAATACTTATTACATAAATCTCATCTACTAAATTAAAAGAAAATAAATATCTTTTTTTTATACTATGTTTTATAAATTAGATCTATCCTCTTGTCTTTGATTAATGCAAACTTAACGACGTTATGACAACCTCTCTGTTCCTATTTCTACTGGTGAAAGTTATGTCTCTTCGACAAATGACTAATGGAGAATGTTGACAAACTCTGAGATCCATATTGTTTAGCTTCATTTCATTATGAAATTCCGACTTCCCCGTTTATCATATTATATTTTATTACCGTAGAACCGTTCAGCTCGTCTGAGGCTAAATATTATTAGCCTCTCAGCACTTTTCGGCTTTCTTCAAGATTAATTTATCGTTCCACGAAAATCTTCGTCGTGATTTTTGTTAATAGTGACGAAATGTGTATTCATTACCTACCTACTATGATAGTTAATATTATACACGACAAATACATTTGTTTTGCCATTAAAATGGTATAATATAACAACAAAAAACTTTTGTATTTTAAAATGTTTATTATATTATTGAATATAATATTCTTAAAGTCAACTTTAATTATATTATATACCCCATTTTCCTTTACAACAGTTAGGTGAGGCTGAGTTTCATTTGGCTCCTCTGACGAGCCGCCATTGCTTTTTACTTCATATAACCTATCATTTTTTTTTCAACAAGATTATTATTAGCATAATTTGATTTAATTTATTTGTTAATTTTTTATTAATATTTTAATTGTAAGCTATTATCCAGTTTTTAAATTTCTACTATTTGTAGAAAGTTATTGTGATAAAAATATTTGAACCTCAATTTATTTTTTCAACTGTTATTTAGTCACTAATTTTTTTTTGATAAAAGATTGGTAGGTATATATAAGCACTTTTAATTAACTACTATCACCATATGCATTTAAAAATATTAATCATTTGCGATTTGCAGTATTTCTCGCATAAATAAGTAATGGAGACTTTATCATTTGGGTAATCTCTTTTCAAAGGCTAAAAAGCTAGTACTTGAAAAAAAATACATATTTATATAATGATAAAATGTATTTTTGTGTATTATAATATGTGTATTGTCTTTTAATCATACAAATAATCATGTATATTAGAAAGCAATAAATTCTCAATACGCATTCTTTCAAATGAAAATTTAGCCAAAACGCCCAAAACTAACTGTCTAATGTTTTGAGTTTATATAGTTGTCTCATAACATGTAAAATGTGTTGGATAAAAAAAAAAAAACTTAATAAAACCATACTCATACGGTTAATGCGTTTTTAACATTAAATTTAAACGCAATTATCCTTATTATCTTATCTTGTACATTAAAAGTTATAAACAGCCGAGTTGAATTAAATTTATATTTTCATTATTTTTTATAATTGCCAAACCACAATTACGACCATTTTGTGAGTTAATTATAATATATAACCTAAATATATTTATCCTGATAGTTTTTTTTTATGATATTATTTTAGTTTAGCTTATACATTTGCATGATCTTAGAAAGCCTGCGTCTCACTAGACATTCTCACTGTCTCACCTAACCAGTTCACCTTTGTTGATGCTAATTTTTATATTACATAATTCAAATTCAATTTAATATTATTTTTATTATAGACTATTGTAATGACTAATTAATATATTATGCGATAAATTAACAATCAAAAATATATCTAAATACATCACATAAGTTTTATTAAAAAACCTACAATCATGCAACTGTTCTTATTTATTGTTTTCATTATTATTTTAAAACTTATGTTTTTTTTTATTAATTTAGAAATATCTGTTTATTTTTTTTTTTATCACACTAAGTTATTTAGTATTTTTTTTAGATAAAAACAAAAAATGTATGTGAAAAATGCAAATAAATTCATTATTTTCTTTTTTTTTTTCGGTTTTGGTATGGAGTAATTTAATTCTGAATTGGATTTGCGTTAATGCAGTGGTGATAATACCACTCCTTATTAGTTATGTTTAACCAATTATATTGGTAACTAGTATGCTCTTTGATCACATTAGAATACATGTTATGTCCCATCCATGTGTGCATTATGTATGGTACGATGTCATTATTTATTACTGACCGACACACTGTGTGTTCTAACTTCAGTAAATAACTGTGATTTAGATATAGGATTTGTTTTTTTTTTTTAATATTCTACCAAGTCTGGCGAACACGCACTTAGACAGGAACAATCGGTTTTCAACGTAGCATGCCTATGTATATTTTTATTTTTTAATGCATACTTAGGTACTATTCTAAATTTGAATGCTGAAATTAAATTAAATATCATTTAATATCTTCTATTTATGTGGTTTAAAATCGATGTGTAATATTTTGTGTGTTTTAAAAATAGCAAGCTATTTTTTTTTTTTTACGAATTTTATTCTACATTTTAGTTAGTTTTTGATTTTTTAAAATCAATACATACTATTAAATTTAATTTTATGATATCGATTTTTATAATATTGGAACAATGGAACTATTTGATTAGCGAGTCACGCAATTCGATACTATTTTAGGGTTTCTACGTTTTCTACGTTTATTGAATATTATATTAAAAAGAGAAACTAATATTATATTTGTATGTGTGAGTGTGTGTGTGTGTGTATGTGTAATTATATGGAACATTAAACGTCTATTGATAATTTATTATCTGTTAAGAAAATTAAAAAATAAAAATAAAATTATTTATAAATGTTCGGAAAAGTAATATTTTGGATAGTTCAAGGAACCTATCAACTATGATATAATATTATAAAAACAATACAAGAATATGTAATTCCTTTAAGTAGGTAGATACCTAACCAATATAATGTATTTACAAAGTATTTAGATTTTATAACGTTTAGAAGTAGTAAGTCTAGTCTTTAACAGTTTTGTTCAGTGATAAGGGACATTTTGCATGTATTCAGATTATTCGTATTATTCTATTAATAAAACTAAAGTAGGTATAGACGAGAACGTTCACGTGTGCATCCTCCTATTATAACTTCATAACTTTCTTAAAATACAAAGTGAATCATCACATTTACGTTTTTGATAAGACATTTAGACATAAAACATATAAATTATTAAATAGTATTGTAATTAGATAATTTAACTGATACTTTAACACATTGTAACATTTATTATAATACGATTTTACTGGATTAATTTATGTGTTTCATTTTTTCCTACAACTATTATGACAGATTTTGATACTGATTTATAGTTTACTTATGTCGATTAGATTAAGCTAGATTATATTATACTTTATCAATAATTGATGTTGATATAATAATATTACATATTTACATCTTTTAATAATTAAATAAAAATACTGTTGGTTTGAATTTTTT